ATACAGTCCCACATGGTTTCTATCCACTCTCCACACAGCACGCGGAACACAATCAGGAAGGAGTGGAAGAAGTCATTCATGTGCCAGCGTGGGAGCTCACAGCTGGTGGAGATCTTACAGACACAATCTTTGTAGCTTTTACCAAATAGCTGCATGCCGACCACAGCAAAAATGAAGACAATGATGGCCAACACCAAGGTGAGGTTGCCCAGAGCCCCCACTGAATTGCCGATGATCTTTATTAGCATATTTAATGTTGGCCAAGATTTTGCCAGCTTGAAAACTCGAAGCTGGAAAAAAAAAAAAAATATATATTATTATGATCTTTACATATATTGAGGTTTACCAAGAAATGATTAATATTGAATCTCTTACAATATCTGCCCTGCCCTTGAACTCTCTCAGGCTCATGGCTAATTTTTGGACCCCCTAGGAAGAATCTTGTCCATCCATATTTTAACCATGTAGATCATTTTTCCTAAGAGTGAATTTTTTAAGATAGCTTGGGGTCCAACCGTCTTTAATTTGCTTTGTGAATGTGTTTCTAAGGCATACCAGGCCTGACACTAATATTAACATCTGAATCACAATAATCTCTGTTGAAAAGATATTCATTTATCAATAGCATGCAAAATGACACCATATTGAGCCCTGCTATAAGCAGAGGAAATTGTTTATTATTCATTAATACTCCTTTGGGGCACTGACATAGCTAGATGCCTGCATTTAAAAATTTGGAGATTTCTCACACCTGTAATTATTTCCCTGATTTGCAAGGACATATATGTAAATCAGAGGGCATGGTAAGTAATCCTACAGATTTTTCTCCTCTGATTTAGGGAAGGAGCATATTTTCCAGAGGTCAAATTAGGAATTTTCTGCATGCCCACCTTGCATCTGATTACCATCCACCATACAAAGGGCTGTTTATATTTTCAAGTTACTATTAAAATGTGACATATTTTCATTAAAAATATTTTCTTCAATCCAGAAATATTAACTGTAGTCATCTCTAGAAATAATAGTCACAACGGCAACTGAGTTATATATTAAATTTTACCTGACTATGCTTTTTTTTAAATAAAGATTTTTCTAAGTGAGTGGAGATAATTTTTTTTTTCCATTTAGGGACAGTTTTGACAATGCAAATGTTACACAAAAATTAAAAATATTAGTAGTTGCATAGTAAAACCTATGAGAGTACTACGTAAGAACCCTGGTTGTTGGACAGGTTTTGTTTTTGTTGCTGTTTCGTTTTGTTTTTTTTACCAGTCGGAATGAACGGAGAACTGATAATCCTTCCACATTGGCGAGGCCAAGTTCTACCAGGCTAAGTGTCACAATAAAACCATCAAAGATATTCCAGCCTTCTTGGAAATAATAGTAAGGATCCATGGCAATAATTTTCAGAAACATTTCTGCTGTAAAGATCCCAGTGAAAACCTATGATCAAAACAAAGTTACTTTAATTCCATCAGATAATGATAAAGTAGAATGACTTAGTGTTTGATCACAGAATAAAATATTTATACTAATTTCCTCATAATGATTCTATTACTATATACATTTGTGTAGTAATTTATAGTTTACAAGAAAGGTCTCATTTACTTTATTTCATTTTATTGCCACAGAAGTTTATGAAGTGGCTAATGCAGGTTAATACAAACATTACTTTACCAGTGACTTGCCTGGTATCATACAACTAGAAAATGGCAAAACTAGGATTTGGGTCCAAATCTATTTTTTTTTTTTAAAGATTTTATTTATTTATTTGAGAGAGAGAGAAGGAGAGACAGAGAGCATGAGAGGGAAGAGGGTCAGAGGGAGAAGCAGACCCCCCGCCGAGCAGGGAGCCCAATGCGGGACTAGATCCAGGGACTCCAGGATCATGACCTGAGCCGAAGGCAGTCGCTCAACCAACTGAGCCACCCAGGCGCCCCTCCAAATCTATTTTTAACTTCCATCACATCAAACTGCCTGTCCCTCCAGACCTTATACAGCACAGGTACTCATGATATCTTGCCCATGAACATTTTCATTTATCTATAGGCGTATTCCCATTTTCCTCAAATCCAATCATTATTATACGCATATATCTATTACTATAATATGTGTGTTACTATTATCAATTTGTTAAGCATGTGAAAAAATAAATTTACTTCCATAGTATAAATACCAGTGCTTTAAAACTGTAAATACTACAATGCAGGATGCTTTACATGTTTTGTTTTGTTTTGTTTTAAGATTTTATTTATTTATTTGACAGAGAGAGACACAACGAGAGCAGGAACACAAGCAGGGGGAGAGGGAGAGGGAGAAGCAGGCGCCCCGCGGAGCAGGGAGCCCGATGCGGGGCTCGATCCCAGAACCCTGGGATCATGACCTGAGCCTAAGGCAGACGCTTAATGACTGAGCCACCCAGGTGCTCCTACATGTTTTGTTTTTTACCATCAAAAATCTTACACCTCAAAACAAATAATATAAAAAATACATACATTACTTTAAAGTCCTCTTTCTTTCAGCAAATAAAAGCTAGTATTCCTAAATTGAGTCAACTGACAAACACTTTAATAATTCATGTTTTTTAAGCACAGAAGAGAAGGATTTAGGTGACAACCTTTACCAAAAATGGCCTTACTAATCAAATAATACACAAAATGTACTGAAGGTTTTTAATATTTGATGGTTTTGATATAGAATAGATGGATAAAACAATACATGTCCTACTTAGATCTTGGAAGTGGAAAAGCTGAATACATTTTTGAGTTGTTAAATTTTTGCTTATAATGATGATGACTAAGCAAAATAAAAAGATCTACTTTTTTTTTTTTTTTTTAAAGCCTTCTACAGCTAGGGAAACTGTGATAATATCATTTCAAAAAGCATGTCCTTAAATTCCTTCTGTATCTTGAAAAAATTATAAATATCAATACTGACTTTTCAAGTAGTACTGTAGGCCTATGCCTATTGCTCTCTTCCTCAGTTTTTGCTTTGACATTAAGGGCTATAATGGTTGGCAAAAAGTAGGGTGTAGCTAGTTAGATATAACTCTCATCTTTTGGGAGCCAGGAGGTAGGAAAGGTGGAAGAAAGACTGCCTTAAGCTATTATTAAATGGAAACAGTTTCTCAAACAGAAAATTCAGTGATTGAACACATTTACCTTCCAATATGCTTACCAAGTTTCCTACAGCAAGCACATTATTGAAATGTTCTGTCATTGGATAGTGCTCCATGGCCATGAAAAGAGTATTTAAGACAATACAGATGGTGATGGCCAGGTCAACAAATGGGTCCATCACAACCAGGTTGACAATATGTTTCACTTTTAACCAATATGGTGAACAGTCCCAGATTAAGAATATGTTGGAAAATTTATACCAACAGGGTGGGCATTTCTGTCTGGATTCTTCAAGTTCTAAATTAAAAATAAAAAAAGAACCAAAAGATATATTTTGTACACATATATATTTATTTCAGATCCACTAGACTTGTTTTTCAGTAATCAACACATTTTTATTTGCTACAGAGTCAACCTCTTTTGTACTTAAAAAAAAACTATAGAATTTATTCTTTAGACACCTGAAGATATTTCATCAGACATACACATAGAGCAGAGGTAGCAAAGAATAGTATTTTTCTCGTATGCATTGATAATCTGGCTCAGCACTTGGCCTGAAGTGAATGGCCTTTTAAATGAAGTTTCAATAGGAACATGAGTTGCAGAAATGTAGATACTGTGTGTAATCCCATGTTAATATCTGGCTAAACTGTCAACCTAAACCTATAAGAGATAGGATAGGAATCTATAGGAGCCAAGAATCATCTTTTAAATTTGTTTTCTTCTGTGAAACGACCCACTCCTCCCCTCCAATCTTGATAGGATTTAGGATGATGTTGAAGTCCTAAGCTAAATGGAACAGAAGAGAGGGTCACTACGACTAATGAGATTAGCAGCTCTAACAGAGCTGCTTTATTCTGCATTTTCAAGGAATTGCCCCACACAGGAAAACATTCTTTAGATTTTCACTATCATTGTGCTTAAGTAACTTTTTTAAAGCTCCTAGAATATATGAGTAGGTATAACAAGTAATAACTCTTAAGTAAGATCTACTATATTCTCTTTAGGAATGTATTGTTTCCAATTTACAAATAGAGATATTTGTTTCAAGTGAGACCATATAAGTTTAGTGAAAATAATTGAATGAAAATGGAATGTGTAACAAACCTTCTACTGTATTTGTTAAAATGCTGGCTATACTCATTGCTCTTTGCCTTTGGGAAGGATCTTCTAGAAAGTCCATGGAAACATGGAAAGAACTTGACCTTCTCTTCCTCATCTCCGTTTCAGTGGTTGTTCCCTATAAAGAAAATACTAATGTATTAAATGATTAACTTGAGCAATATGCCAAGCAAAGAACCAAATGTGACACAGTGAATTTCATGAAACACATGCATCGTGCACTTTTCATATTTAGCTGGTGATGGCAGAGATTGCTGACTTATTGTATCATTAACCTGGAATATCCAAACTGTCAACCATTTAGTTAAACAGCAAAAAACTGAGTTTTTTAACCCTCTACTTTCATAATTTTATGAGACATGATGTAATTTTGATATAGTTAATAAATCGCTTGAGAGACATATTTAACAGTTCGCCTCATTTCTGAACTAATAGTATAAAACTAACAACCTGAGAAGTCATATAAATGGTCAGGCATTTTATTTTGAGAAGGTAGCCATTTATTTTTCAAGAAATACAGATGATTGCAACACATGTAGCCACCACCTCATTTTCTGTACACAAGACATAGATGGTCACTGACAACACAAACTGTATGTGAGAAACACACACATGCTACACGGACAACAGTTTCATCCAGGGTATCAAAGCAATAAGTCATCTAATTCTGACTTAGTCATGCCTCATCATGCTGATATACTTCCAAGTGAGTTACCCATCTACTAAGAGGCAGCATGTGTTCAGAAATTCCTCATCCTCATACACATTCACAAACACGTAACATATGTTTGTACAGACACTTTTATCTGTCTGTATTAATGATTTATTTATGTCTTGTCATTTAGACTCATTTTGAGAAGACTTATATCAGCATTTTTTTTTTAGGAAGACAAATGTGAATACTAGAAATTTTAAGATAACAATGAAGCTATCCATGTAGGCACAGTGTTCTTGAAAATCTTCTAAAATAAGTCAGAGCTATAGTGAAGAATCTGTTGGAAAGATTTATTATACACCCTTTATACTTAAACAGAGGAATCATTCATTTACTTTTATACCAAAGCTTTAAAGGATGTCTTGCTATCTAAGCTCAGTATGGGTATATAACAAATCCACCAACTGGAGGCAGTAATTTATTATTGTGTCTAATTTATTCTTAGCACGTTTAATAAGTAAATGCATTCGGTGTTATGCAAGAGAGTGTTGAGGCCTCAAGTTTTAGTTGGTTAGTCTATTAAACGTATTACAAGATGCAGGTGCATTCACAGCTTGACCAACCACGAATCATTCTCAAAGGGTTCCATTCTGTAGAAACACTGGCTGGTGCAGCAATAATGGGCCAGCCATGCCTGAACTATTTAAAACTTCCTTACATTGTCATCAGTAGCTGGCTTATCTATTATCACCTCTGGCAGAAGCTGTCCAACAGGCGATGTAGGAACTGAAGGTCCACCAACCAAGGAAACCACACCATTGCAATCCACAGTGCTGTGCATCTTCCCATTCGCTGGAAACACTGCCAGAATCCGGGAAGACCTACTGGTCTGACTCAGGTTACTGTTGCGCCGCTCTCCATGTCGTCGGGGCACAAACAAGGAGTCTCTCCGGCTCTCGTTATCCTCAAAGGTGCTGTGCTCATCATCAGCAAAGTCATTCTCCGATCCCACATCCTTTGCTCGCCCTCTAAAGCTGAAAAGGCTTGTTCTGCTATTTCGCCTTGGAGAAAATAGGGAGCCACGGATGCTCAACAAAGACTAAAAGTTTGAAACCAAAAAAAGTACAATCATATTAATATAGCCGCTTGAAATGTGCTTTTGATTTTGCAAGATTAAGTTGAAGGACATTTCAGTATTCGTAAGAGAATGTGATTCACTCCTTTTGATTAACATTCTCACTTTATGTGCTCAAATTAAATTGGTTTTATAAGAGAAGATTTCTAGTCCTTGAGATCATGAATGGGGAGATAGATCACAACTTAAAGATACCGAAAAAACAAAACCCTGAATCACCATTTTTCAAGTTCAAAAGGAAACATCCTAAGCACATACTATGGACACCATCAACATTCAATAAACATTGGCAGCATGACCTTCACAAGGACACATTTGTTCTTTTTTTTTTTTTTTAGATTTTTTTTTAAAGATTTTATTTATTTATTTGACAGAGA